CGAATGTTGACTGGACGTGTTCCAGGGCGTCTTCACAAATTCGAATGTGAACAACCAGAAGTTGGAAATAATACCCTGGCGGTGGTCGCGAGGAACAAACGTAATAAGTGCGTCGGAGTAACTCTCGCTGACTGAAAATACGGTGCATGTGATGTTTTAATCACGGTCAACCAAAATCATGGTGGAAGAGTGTGACTAACGGATAGCTGCCGTCCGAGCGGTCACACCCTGTCCAATCAACACAGAGTTCGAGCGGCACATTCGTTTCTTACATCTTCCTGCATGATCATAATCGAAACATCACGTGCAACTTATTTTCAACCATGAAGGGCTACTACACTCCACTCTTACGCGCTTATTAAAACCATATACCAACATATACCTTTGATTAAAACAGTTTCTCGCTACCACCGCTAGGGGATTCTTTTAGACTTCTGGTTGGCCAATAGAGCATGTCAAGCCCACTTTCTGCATCTGGTGCACATCCTGGCTCTGCCCGCGCCTCTCATTGACCAAACTCTCTTTATACATGGCTCTGCCCCAGGCGTCTTCCAAACGCATCTTGCAGACGGTACAGTCACACATTTGTGCTATAGTGGGTGAGACGTTAGGAGGTGAAGGGAAGCTCTCCCCACCCCTTTCCCCTGTAGCAGAGCTAACGCTGGACAGGAAATCGCCTTCTCTCCAGCGTTCGCTTTGCTAAAGTGGGAAAAGGTGGCAGGAGCTTCCCTTGAACTATAGTAGAAACAACAAAGTGAGCTGCTGCTTTTGACCCTTACTGTACATGCAGCGACACCCTTAGTGCAAACATGTGATTAGTAGATTTTTTCCCCTTTTTTTTGTTTTAGAAACGAGGGGCTATCGTAAGAAATATTGGTGCAGTGGGAAGTGTTCATTCTGACCACTCGCCAAAAGTGAAGTCGGTGCTTTCCCGCAAAGCAGAACGCAGTAAAGCACCGATGTAGCATTTGCACCAAAGACGTCGTGCGGCGTACCAAGCACCGCGTTACTGGCGCCCTCCTGGCAGCGTACAAAACTCAGGTCTAAATCTTCGACCGAGCCAACTTCGAGTCGAGGCGGACCTCTCGAATCGGGGTTCCCTCCGCCCAGCTGCGAGGACACTCACACTTCCTCCATTTCCTCCTCTTCTTGGGAGAGGCGGAAGTACGGATTGGATTGGGTCGGCCGGAACTTGTAGCCGGTCAGGACGAAGAAGACGAGCGTGGCTCCCTCCCGGAACAGCTCATCCAGCCACTCGTAGCGGAAGGGAACCGTGATCTGCAACGCAATGCGTCCGCCCGTGAGTCGCCGCGGATCGATTCTCAGTTCAAAGGGGGAAACGTGAAAGCGTGTTTCGTAAAAACGGCAATTCTCCAACTCTAGTCCGCGGACCCCCATGAGAACCGCGGCAACGGTGCCGTAGGTGCGCACCGATTTCGGGATCGCTCCACCGCGGACAGATAAGAAGGGTAAAACCGTCGAACGAAACATCTTTGTATGGTCTGGTGCAGGTTTAGGATGGCAAGACAAGCCCCTCCAAGGACAACAGACGTGCCATAAAATCCCGTAAGAACACCCGCCAAAAATGAAGAGATAAACAAACACGTTTGTGTTGAATGTGTCTCAGGCTGCCCTCGCAGTAAAGCCCTTGATTCCCGACAGCCTGTACAATGAGGGTGACGTTCATGAGCCTAGGAATCCCTGCGTGACTTTCGGCTGCTACATTATCGGCGCGTCGTCATGTGCCTGTCTCTTAATCGCAGCGCCTGGCCTTCTACGCTCCGTGGAGAAAAGGACGCGTCAGATTTGTTTCTAAAAAGACTGATTCAAGCAAATACGGCATCGCAGAGGTTTTCGACAAGAAAACGAGGCTGACGAAGCAAACACACACCCAAGGGCAAATGGCGTCAACCGGTATTGGGAACCTCCCGTTGAAAGTTTCAGAGAGTCATTTGTAACTTTTTAATAAAATATTGGTTACTTCCGAAACTTCATCTGCTCCAGACTGGAAGCAGCGGTGGAACTGACAAATGGTCATTTGGAGCAGTTCTTGTAGCAGGGAACGAGTTTTGGAGCAGAGATTCCCACTTTTGGAGCAGACAATTTTGAGCTTTTGTGTCAAAATATTAGAGCGAAGCTCCTTAGGGGCTAGCCATGTCCGTATGTCCTGCTCGTGAGCTCACGTGCTCATGAGCATGTGAGCACGTGCTCCCGTGCTCATGTAGGGAAAAAAAAAAACCGCATCTCCACGAGGTGAATGATGTTGATTGGGGCAAAGCTCTGGTGGTGCTTGTCTGCGTAGACGCCAAGCTGCAGCATGCCCAGCCTTTCGTTCGTTTTCATCCATGTCACGCTGCGGTCAAATGCTCAAATGCTTATATAACCACGTTCCATACAACACATTCTTTCTGACATGGATGAAAACGAACGAAAGGCTCGGCATGCTGCGGCTCACCGTCTACGCAGACAAGCACCACCAGAGCTTCGCCCCAATCAACATCTTTCACCACGTGGAGATGCAGTTTTTAATACAATCTCTTTAAAAGTTAGCCTGTGGAAAAAAACTTCAGTTGTTAAGAGTGTTGGGAGACTATTCAAGGTATCATACCTAGAAGGGACCTGGTCACTACAGATATTTATTTACTGTAAACGACTTATATTTAGCGGGCTCAATATTTTACGATTTAGATCAAAGCTTTAAGGTTTGAAATTAGCGGGTTCTAATTTTTGCAACGCAGTGGGATTCCAATATATATTCCAATGTGTTTCCACTTTACCCGAATTGTTTGCGGGCCGAATTTTGCGCAAATTGCCGGCGATTCGCAAAAATTAGGTTTTCGCGAAAACAAAGTTGTTCGCAGTATTTATTGAATAAGCATACACCCTTTTTTTTTTCCAGGTGTCTCAATTAACTTATTAGGAGTAATGATGGCATCTTCGGTTTGTGTGTGACGTAAAAAAGATGTTTTTGGCTACTTGGTAGGGTTTGTATCACAGTGAGGCAATTGTCGCGAGTTTGACATCAAACGGACACTTTTGTGTTGAATGTGTCTCACACTGCCCTCGCTCGTATTCAACCTGCTAATGTTCTTGGAGTAGCTAAGCGGAGTACATAGCTGCTCTAACTGCTCACAAAGAGTAGCGCTACATGTTCATGCGATCGATGAGAGCACGTTGCACAAAAACCAATAACTCTTCATTGGGCATGCACAAACAATGGATTTGGGTTTGAAACAAATTCGAAGTGAATAGTGGTTTGGGCCAAATATTTTTTTAATCGAATATTGGATAGTTGTTGCCCCTTTCTCCATGCCTTTCACTACACCGTGCTTAAACACAAATTAACCTGAACTCGCAAAGGTTGTTCCCAAGCTTCTAATTGCCCACTTATGAGCTCTGTTAAATTTAATCTAGCTATATTTATAGACTGTGGCCTCAGACAGTCCAATGCCTACATTAGGATGGCAAGTAAATGACAGATCTGGCATAATATGAAAGCTATAAGGGAGCCCCGCCATACCTAATTGAAGGGATTCATAAATCTTCTTGCTATATGAAAATATTTTCTTTGGTTCTGAATTAAAACAAAACAAGCACAAGTAATGAACACAGGTTGCTGAAACATCACTGCATAATATACACTCTTGCATAAAAGCAACAGTTACATTTTGGAGATTTTACTGCAATATAATTATCACCAACCACTTTTCTTTTTATTATCTTACGCACACGCACGCGCCATACCACTTTGAAGGTGTGTTTTCACCTAAGTGCGCAGCGGCGAAGCGAGTAGTGAGATCGCAGTGTCAGCTTCGCGGGTGTTGCTTCTCCGCAGTGTTTCAGTGCTTGAGGAGAAGCGCACTCATGGGGGCTAACTCGCCGTGATCAACACTTCGAAAATATGAGTGCCGCAGGTAACCTTGAAGCGAATATCAAAGAGCGTATAGTCTGAAATTAATATCTGATAATTTGAATATTCGCACAGCCATACTCTTCGCACATAGTAATTGGGCACCCAAAGAAACAACAACTGTATTTTTTAAATTTTTATTGGCATCGCCAAGAATGTCACTGTTCATACACTTACAATTTCCTTATTGAGAACAGCCCCCTTGTGGTGCACACATGGCGCAAATTGTGCACAAATACAACCTTTGAAGCAGCATGTAGCGGGGTTTTCGTTCTGGCGCAGTCTGGTGCAAATGGCGCAGCAGTTCCACCACTGTCGGCAAGCGGTACTTTTGGGCAGAAATGCATAGTTTACGTTTGTGGTGAAAAAAAAAAAAACGTAAATGTTTTTCGGGGACGTGCCGTACGTCGAGCGCATATTGATTCATTCGAATTCACCAGAATTATATTTGTCTGGAACGAGTTCAGCTTTCTGAAGAGCTGACTGCCGTAGTCTCAAACGGAAGGTGCCATTTGTTAAGCACACGTTATTCGACGTATGATGGATCGACCGATTACATCGACCGATTATATAACAGAATATAATGCTTCAGTGAGCTTCAAGTGAGCCTTACCTTCAGGAGGAACACAATAATCCTAGTGAAATAGATGTAGCAGACAATCTGAAAAAGAAGGGAAATTCATACGTCAGGTTACAACATCGAGGGCAAAAGGTGTCACACTCTTTTGGTCCTGAAAAACTCCTAGACCCCTTGCAAGGCATGCAACACACAGATGCATCATCACTTCCTTGCACTGCCCCCGTTCAGAATTCTTGAAGCAATATACCCAGGCGAAAATCAGTCCACTTCCGGCTCGGTTATGGAACTGGAAATGAGGCAGTCCAGCTGGATTCCAGCTGGTCCAGCTGGGTCCAGTTGGAATCCAGCTGGATTCCAGCTGGGTCCAGTCGGAATCCAGCTGGAATCCAGCTGGACTGCCTCATTTCCAGTTCCATAATCCAGCTGGAAGTGGAGTGATTTTCGCCCCCTGGGATGTGTTCCATGATTCCAAAAAAGTGCTCACTAACTCCGACTCGGATTAGGGCTCACCATGACATAGAAGTGCCTGAAGAGCTTGAGCTTCTCCAGGTTGATGGCCGCCTTTCCGTCTGTCTGGGAGGCCTCCTGCAGGTGTCGGATGGACCTGCCGGGTGGAGAGAAACGGACCCAACTTGCAAAGGCCGAGCCAAGACGAGCCAGCCATAGACTTCGCTAAATTAGCCAAGCACCAAGGAGCGTACTGAGAGTGCAGTTAAAAGCGCTGCACGTGCTGGCGTCTGCAACAGTAGTGGTTCTGAAGCAAAAATCTGCAACAAATGATGTGTATTTGTCAATGCAGTATTTTAGTAATTTACTTCCGAGCCTTTTGAACAGGTAAGACAAGCGCATGCAGCACGTGCTCCTACATTCTCAGAATTCTCCTAGGTGCTTGGGTAATTTAGCAAAAGCTTTATTCAGACTGCTTCAACAGGTCAGTTTACAGAATGCATGCTTAAAGAGTAATACTCTCTGTTTGGAAGTAAACATTCGTTAACCGAAAACACTTAGTTGGAGGCACAAGGGATGACAACCCTGCAAACTAAACTAGCTTCGCCTCAGGTTACCCTTTCTCAAGGTAATGGCTTCAATTTTCAAATTCATCCGACAACTCCGCAATTGCATTACGTAGAATTTAACCGCAATGACACTGAACACCATTAATACCGTTGCGATGTCCCACAATGTCACGGTGTTGCGCGACGCAACCTTGTACGACGTTGCACTGTTTCGTCGAGCGACAACCGTGCAGACAAGGGACCTTACACGACCCCCGACCGCCTAATTTCTCAAGAAAATATTGCGCCCCCCTTTGACGACCCCTTAGTCTGCGGTCCGCATAGTTTCGACTTCATGGGTAGGACCGAAGCGTTTCTTAATTTGCAAGGTTTTAAGTGTCGGACCGAGGAAAGCAATCAGGCAGCTCCGGCAACGGACGGGGAATTAAATTCGAGCTTCTGGAAATCTTTCAATAAGTGACCGAAATCCGTCGCACCGCGGGCGCCGACGAGTTGAGGGGCTCACCAGACGACGGGGAAGAGGATGGCCCCGCAGCAGAGCAGGTCCACCAGGATGAAGACCTCCCTCCAGGTGGTGTGCTGGGATTCCCCTTCCTCACTCTCCTCCATGATGATCTGGGCCACGTTGGCCAGCAGCTGGGGGGAACAGAGGGTGCAGGACGCGTCAACGCCAACTGCCTCGAAGGCGCCTTCGCGTCGACGTACCGTTCTTGAAAGGATAACCTCACTCCCACGGCCGTAACGCAATGGCGGTCGTAACGCGGAAGTTTGTGTACGTTGCTTCGCAATGGTGTTGCGCGAACAAACGTGGCACGAATTTCGTACCTCGGTGGCACAAACGTCATTACGAGCGGCGCGTCCGAAAAAGAGTTTGCCGAATCGAGCGCTCCGGCAGGAGTGTAACGGAAAATTCGAGTTTCCAAACGGTCATGCGTACTGCGTGCGAAACAAGTCAAATTAACTGAAGTTGAATTAACATGACTCGACTGTATTATAACGCAAACGTGAAGTTACAGCAGAAGTGAACAGGGGACGAGAATGGGGAAAATATTGTGTACATTGACTGCACTCATCTGACGACCCCCTTTAAATTTAGCATTTCTGTAACCCATTTCTGTAAAGGCAAGCTTAGAAAGATGCAAGTCCGCCGATCGAGTTGAAGGCATCTAGTGGCGGATGCATTTGGCGTCAAGTCGACTCTTTTTAGGTATCTCGGCCCTTGAACGCATTCTGCGTCGACAAAAGCTGACCTGGAGCGGGATGACGATCATAAAGATCTTCTTGTCCTTGTCACTCAGGATGTGCTTGATGAAGGCCCAGCCCGTTCCAATCAGGACGATCGTGATGAACAGCAGGGCTCCCTTCAGCCTGCACAAGAAGAGCAAGAGCCCAGCTCCCTTCAAATGAATGCTGTACTCACAAGAAAAATAACATTTTTTGAAAAACAATCTATCACAATGTTATAAAAAAGCTTTCATTGGAAATTTTTTTTTCTTTTTTTATTACAATATTTATGTTAAGACATATTTTGACTTGAGAGCAATTTCAAAACATGCCTTTTATTTCAGACGCTGACCCCGAAACAGGGGGATGTTTTCGAATCACTCTTAACTCAAAATGAGCCTCACGATGTAAAAATTGCGCTGAAAATCTTTGTTTTTAGGGAGGGGGGGAAGGGATGTAAAGATTGTGACATTACTGTTCTAAAATGGATCTTCAGAAAAAAAGAATGTTTCTTAGGTGTGCAGTGTACACTTAAGGAGAAAAATTGTGGCAACTAAGCCCCTAAAAGGCCCATTATGTTTTCTTATGTTTCGTTATGAATCACCGGGGACATCCACGCTTCGAATGTTGCCCCTTCGAACAGTTGCTATGCTTCATACACAGTACAAATGCCACAGTGACTCTCGTCATAAGCAGACGTAAGCTCACGTAACGTCACGTAATGTAAAATAACGGTGCTGTGTGAACCAGCCTTTGAAACAGTCTTTATTTGGCCTCCAGGATTACGAATATCCAGATTATATTCATATTGAGTCGCCAAGCAGCCACAACGGCCCTTTCACATAGCACCGAAGCCCCTCCTTCCCGTCGCATTCAGTTCGAAGAGGGACTCACGATGTATTGCACAGGGATCAGTGCAATACGTCGGCGAATGCACCTATCGACACATTCGGGTCGAGTGCTAAGGATATTCATATTCACAGGACAAAAATATGCTAGAATGCACCTCCCAACTCATTCTTTTCAACAAACTCTTCGGCTAAGCCCTGAACCATTGTTTCACCATAAATGTATAGAGCCAGAATAACTGAACTTTACACGGCTTTGTACGTTGAAGCTCGCTTTCGAAGAGGAAAGTAATTGCGACAGATGGAAGGAGATACAAAGAGACCAAGGAAGTCTGCCTCACAGATGCGTGATGTAGAAGAGCACGGCCCACGCTTCGATGGGGGAGCCGTCCTTCGAGATGAAGTGGTAGTTGATCTGGGGAAGACAAAAACGTGTCTCAGCGAGCTTTCGCCATTTCGATGAGGGGCACACGGGGCATGCCGTACAACCGAAATCCCTTACCCCGTGAAGCAAGAGGGAACACGACTTGACGAAGACAAGCAGGCCCATCAAGAAGTGGATCTTGTAGGCCTCTTGCCTGAAAACCGGAAAACAATTAATGTAGGGTGCTGCTCGTCACAAAGAACAAGTTACGATCACCAGAGAAACATGCGGGTAGGTAGCCAGAAACTTGGATTGTGCAAACAAAGCCTTGGACTGCTGTAGTCACAGGAAAAACGTCTGTACTCGCAAGTTCCAGCTATGGTGGTACAATGGTGTGGCAGTCGTGTTCCCTAGTTCTAGGGTGACAGACTACATCATAAGGATTGTTGCAAAAGTTTCTCTTAGATGAAATAATATTGCTACGGTCTAATGACGTTCATATCTGACAAAATTTGGATCACTTGGGCAACCCAAACGTGGCCGCGTTCTGCTGTTCCATGTTAATCCCCCACATGACAGCCATTTTGATAGGCGTCAATCCGACCCCTTTAGGCTGTCAAACTCGCGGATAAGACAAGGACAAAGAGAAGGAACACACAGGACAGGCGCCGCACATTCCTTCTCTTTGTCTTGTAGCAGTGCTTTCCCCCAATCATGTACAACAACCACGACCTAGCTCAACTGTCCACCTTATAAATCTTGGGTCGTGCAACCAAAAACGTGGGTAGCACAACCGTAAAACATGGGCAGAGCAACCTAAGCTGCACAATCGAAAAACACTGGTTGCATAGCAAAAAGAGACAGGACTTACGCAACAAAAAGTGCAGGCCAAGCAACCAAAAAAACATACTACTTTGCACAACAGAAAACGCGAGTTAAGCAACCGAAAAACGAAGGTTGCGCAGCCAAAAACATGACTCACGCAACGAGAAAGCTTAAAGGGACCCTGCAATCATATTTAAGCGTCCACCTTTTTTGCGGTTTCCAGGTCTCTTGGGGTTCGGGCAAGCCAGCGGGCAAGGAAGAGTAACTAAATATTGGTGCGTCATATTTTAACCGGACGACACGGAAACCTCCTCCACCTACGAGGGCGACCCGCGTTGGCGAAAGCGCGCGATACGTTACGTCTTTGGTCCTTGGCTTACTACTGGTCACAACTGCTAAAATCTTTTTTGTTAGTCGAGATACAAAATATAGGTGTCACGAACCGTTTCAATTATGTATTAAAGTAGTTTTTGTTCAGTATTTTAGATCAGAAAAGAAACAAATGCAGTTTATAAAGTACGGAAACAAAAAATGACCCGTCGACATACCCACCGCCAAGCGGCGGAAAAAACGGCGCATACTAGAAAGGGCTAGTGGGATGAAGCGCCGACGAACAGCGAGCGTAGAAAGGTCCCGGATGCACGCGGCGGCGCTGCGGTCATATACCGGCGCGAGGATCCGACCGGTTCCGAGCGTTCCAAAGGCTTTTTGCGAGCAGCTTTGTCTTGCGGTCTGGCCGTTTCGCGGTACGGCAGCGTGACCTGGCTCCCATTCTGAACTGATCTTTACCCCGTGTTTGGCGTTGTTTGTGGCCAATGAAGTGTCATGCCGAATTAGTCTTTAATCACGCAGCGAATGCAATGCGAACCGCCCTGGCCGCCCGCTTCATATAGCCTATTTAACACGTGCTTTAGTGGTGCCCTCTCGAGCCGTCGACACGGAGTGCGGCAGCTGTGAGCGCTTGATGAGCTCACTATCCCTCCTCTAGTTCATGGCCACTCAAGCCAAGGAAGCAAGGACCTACGACGTCATAAAGGAGGTTATTTTTCGCTTGTTTTTGTCATTTTAATTCGCCTTTAACTTTTAAAATAAAGCGAAATTTGAGAAAAGAAAAGTTTCATTAAGTTATTATGTTCGGTGCGCTCAGGATCGGTGCAAATTTAAAATCAGTCAAAAAGTTGTTGCAGGGCACCTTTAAGCTCAGCAACCAGAAAATATAGATTGCAATCAAAAAACATGGGCTGTCTAATCAAAAAGCGCGGGTCAAGCACTCATAATTTTGCAGGTTGCACAGCCAAAAAAGCGCGCATCAACGAAAAAGCGAGGACCAAGTAACCAAACTCAAGCAACAAAAAAAGCGGAGGAAGGGGTAGCGCAAGAAGAGACGCGGCGTCCCACCTCCTCTGGCGCAGCACGTATATCCAGTAGCAGCCGACCACGAAGAAGACGACCGACATGAGGAAGTAGACCTGGGGCAGCGGGATTTCTCCCGCCGACAGGTAGCTGCCCTCGTTCCTCTCAGAGATCACCACCTGGCAGGAAGGCCGGACGCCGTCAGAGCCGCAGGTGCAGGTAGGGTGCCTGTGACGTGTTTGGGACAACCACGCCTGCCCGTACCCTTTGTCGGGACTCGTGGTGAACACCACCGGGATTGCGACATCTGGCGGCGCGACGCTCTGGCTTGTGCGACATCGTTTGTCGTCACTTCGGAACCGCTTTCGAGGACGGGACGCCAAACGCGTCAGTTCAAGTCGCATTTAGGGCACCGGTGTTGACTTCAACTGTCAACACTACCGAAATAACTTTCCAAACCCGAATAAGATGAAACCATTTACGACGGTTCTTCTCATTCAAACAAACGTGATCTGTTCCCGGATGCTGCGAAAAAGAAGACGCGTAGGACGCCTTCGTAAACGGGTCTAGAGACGAAGAAACGCGGCACCACTGTGTGCCGCTCGTATTTTCCCAGCTCTACAGTCGCGCGCAATAAAAGAACAATCCCGGTTACGGAGTCAAAAGTTGGGAAGCTCCAGAGCGAAACCGACGTTCGGACGTAGGCTTAATGCGATGAGTTAGATCAGTCTCTTTGCGAAAGAGAGCAATAAGTCACTATAGTCTGTTGCGGGTTAAGAATGGTGATAGAAGCCCCCCCCCCACCCGAAGCCTTCTGCTCAGGACGATTTGAGACTTCCTCCTTTCTACTCGCCTACCCTCACGCATTGGCTCTGCTAAAGCAGGAAGGATGGAGCGCTATGTGGGAGGAGCTTCTGCTATTCTTAGTTAACCTACAACATACTATAATCTAAGTCAAAGTGCAATAACCACCACACTTACTCGAATAGCAAAAACATGCTAAAATCACTTTTTACATAGACTACGCGAGCGCGGTCAAATCAGGACATGTCGAACACAAAAGAGGGTCGCAAAGGAGTGTGACGTACCGATAGTTTGATCTACGAGTACACCGAAAATTTCACGCATCTCTAGTTAGTTAGTTGATATTGTGACAAACGTAGCGCAATCATTAAAACTTACTGGCTCCCAGGGTCAAGAAAGAGAGGACGGAAATCAACGTCGAAAGGCCGCTCTCCACGCGTGCATTACCGGCATGTTCCGCAACATTCTGCACAGATGGTTGGTGCTGCCGCAAACGCCGAAAGCCAGGAGGCTACGCTCTCGTTTCTGTCAGTGGCCTCTGCTAGCGTCCAGGCATGCGAGCCGATTGCAGAAACAGCGACTAGGTGGTTCGACGTACCGAATGTTCCGGTGATGGGAGAGCGACACGGCACACGACGTCCTCATACTTTTACGCGGCATTTTCGAGAGATCGGTTCGAACGCGTGATACGGACGACTCGAAACACCAGGACTAGATGTAAGTGGGATCGACTTACTGACGAAAAAATGTGATTAATTTAGAGAATTTCACGGTTCACGCGCACTCGGAACCACAGAGTCGACTGCATTCGTATTTACTTTACGCGACGCTCAAAATATTCCGAGTCCCCACACACTTGAGATTTCGCGACTCGCGTGTCTGCGCTCGGAAAACAGCCCACGAACCCCGTAAAAAGAAATCACTCGCCGAAAGGTTGGCCGAGCTGTTGGTGAAGCCCACAGGACTCGGGTAGCAGTTGTGGAAGTAGAGGCTATAGAGTCCCTCGTAGGCCTCCTTGTCCACGTTGACCTCGAACTGCGATGAAAAGGTTCGGACGTTAGGCTCGCGACTCCTCGGCACAAAGCCTCTGAGCTCGCTGCACTTGAGAGCACCCTTTTCCGAGTCTCGAGCACCAAGAACGGTTTACACCCAACAATTTTAGGTTGTCAATCGTTCGTTTCTCTCTAGCACACGAAACGAAGCTGCGAGTTTTGGCAATTCTGTCTATGCTGTCCGAGACGTAAATCCATTCCTATAAGCCGTTCGCCTCACTTTGCATCGGCCGACTTTGTTGCACCCCAATTCACCTTTCTGCTCTCTTTTTGGCCGCTTATCAAAATTGGCATCTGTAAGACGATATTTGGCGGCAAGTAAATGATGCTGAGACGAAAGTCTTATCTTACGACACTGCCGTAAAAGCTTCGACAAGAGTTAACTGTCACGCAAAGAGTTTTCCCCTGAAGCATGAAAGCTCGCCGGCGACAGCAGTTGCTGTCAAAGGAACGCCCAACACGTACCTGAAAGCTGTACACCGTCACACCGTCCACAATGTCCCTGCGAAGTGGGAGCGAGACGTTGTCGCACCGGCCCGAGGACTGCTTCTTTGGTGGGACCTGGGTTGCGGTTTCGGCCGTCGCTGCAGCTTTCTGCACCGTGCTTGAGGCGTCGGCTTGATGCACCACGTCGGCCTGCGGCACGAAGTCTTTGCTGCCGTCTAGAAGTGAAACGTGCGGTTACCAAGAGCCCTTCGCCAATACAATTACGGTCGAATCTCAATAATTTCAACTCTCTTAATTCAAACTTGTGGATAATTCAAACTAACATGCAGGTGCCATCCCATGTGTCACTATGGGAGGAAACTCCCAGTAATTCAAACTTTGCTTTAATCAAACTAATTTTCTGTCCGCCTCGAGTAGGAATTAACGAGATTTGACTGTATAACCCACCGCTACCGTAAAATCTCGTAAAGGTGCCCCCCCCCCCCCCCAGAATGAAGACAAAATGGTAAAAAACATGAAGTTGGATATCTTTGGGAATGGGACAGGAAAACTTTATCAAAAGTTAATGATAAACACAAGGGCACCCTCCACAAACCACGCAGCACGAAAACCGATACCGCAGATCGCAGACACAGCAAGTTCGCATTTCACGACGCAATAAACACGCGGGGGAATTCGCTGCAAACTCCTGCGTCATGGGAAAGGATACCGCAGTCTGCGGATGCAACAGATTCGTGTTTTACGGTGCAGCAAACACGCGAAAGCCGGCTAGAAACTTGAGTGCCACGGGAACCGATGTCGCGTGTACAGATTACGGACACAAAACATGGGAACTTGCTTGTCACACATGCCGGCACTACAGATCACGCAGGTGATGTGATTCCTGTCTATGTTGAAATATACAGTGCCTCGTTTTTTACATTGCCTGACTGAATTGAATGCAGAAGTTTGGAGTGAAACCCTAAAAAATGTATGTTCAATGTTTGTGAGAGTGCCCCTGGAATTTGTAAACTTGGGTAAATCGACTACTTTTTTCTCTCTTTCCCCCCCCACCTAATGTTGTTTATTTTTGTGTCATAAGTGTGCTTGTGAAAAATGTTATATATATGTACATGCTGTCCTCTTTTTGCTGCAGTGGGGAGGCAGAGGCTAGTCAAGGTTCCTTTTTTTCTGCCTCACCTCTCTAAATGGAGAGAAAAAAAAGAGTGAGTTTGAGAGGTTCGGATGTTTCGGAATTTTGGTGGCACGAACATTTAGCCAGAAAAATGGTTAAGACGATCTCTCGTGCAACCTTACGTGATTTTATGGTACCACCACACGGAAACCTAGAATCACTGAACCTTGCCGGCCTACCGCTTCCCAAAGGGTTCACTTCAATTGGAGGTTCGAGCCAAACTGGCTTTCTGACCGACAAATAATGGTAACCTTTAAACCAGAAATAAAAAATAAAAACTGGTTGGAAGGTTGCAGGCATTCTGTTTTTTGCCAGGGTTTCCTATATCGAGGAGGCCGCAATCTAATACTGCAAAAGCAGAATTGTGGCCAGTTGGCCCACTGGCTAACAGGCTCTATGACTTCTGTCCAGCTTGATTAGATCTCACGGAGCTGCCATTTTGGAGCCATCAACTGCAGTGCCACGATGCAGTGCTAGAAAAGAAGCTTCAACGTTTCATTACTGGGAACATTCAGCAATTCTAGGGAAACTAAGTTACGGCTAACTACGGTAGGACTAGTGACAGTGTACGAGCTCTCAAAAAGAGCGGGTTAAAGCCACTCTTCGATGCGCAAACCAATATAGCGGGTACCATAATTTTCGGAGTAGTCACTCCCAGGAGCCGGGCACATTGTAACGGGCAAATGTACTCAGACATAGACGATTGAACAATGGCACTTGGAAACAAATGTGGCAGGGACTGCACGCTCATGAAATGTTTGAAGGGAAAACAAGACGAAGACTCAACAAGAAAGGGGCACGCTCGAACGACCAGGACCGGTGAAGCGAACGGACGTTCCCCATGCACCTAGAGCGACTTTGAGCACTTCAAGGCCTTAAGCCGGTTGCCGCTCACAATTTTGTCCGCTCCCCCGTCTCTGCTCGCGCAATTTTAAATTAAAAACGAAGCGTACAAACTGACGGAAGCATCGTATAAAGAATGTATGCGATACGAGTATGTTACTCGATAAAGGAGGAGAACGTCATTTCCTCATTCTCCGAGCATTCGGTAGTGGGACTCGAATGCAGTCGACGTTCGCCGCGAGACGGCACTCTAGTTGGCATCCCTTTGTTTCCTATGCGAGTACAGAGAGAAGTGCTAACTGGGACCTCCCCATTTTGAAGCGAATCCGTACATAAAAAGAGAAAGATTTAGTCCAATAGCTACCGCACCGATATCCGGTAGCTTACGGCAATGTTTCTTTGCAACTGTATGCGGCAAAAATATTCCGTAAAAACACCGGCAATGTGGCGCTTGGAATGCGTCTCTGACTGACGTGTTCGACGCATTCCTCGTTTGCGGTCCGTTGACTTCCGCCCGACGACATTGCAATCGCGTCGTATCGCCGCCTGCCACAATCCAGTGGGTGCACGGGTGCGGCTAAAAAGCAACTCCAGTCGAAAACAAAACCAGAACGAACAACCGGTATCCCTTTAGTGGCACGAAATATGATTGCGGCCGAAATATTACGTCGAAGTAAAGCCGCGGACTCAGCTAAAACCGATTTTAAAGATGCGAGCAGCTGCTCCTTAGCGGGCGGCAAGCGGGTCAGCTTTCGGTCGAGGAAGACCGGCGCAGCACCCCCGTGATGTCGCATCGCAGTGGAGCTGCGGTCGATTGGCCGTACCGCGCATCGCAGCACCACAGTGACCTCACATCGTCACACTGCATATAACGTATGTCGCGGGAGTCACGAAAATCCACACTATAAGCGGTACCGCGCTATAACCAAAACATCAATTTTTCAGGCCAAAATAGATGCCGTGAGACAACTTACCTTTGTAAAAGAATTTATTTTATGTTAGATGAAAAATAAAGCTTAGTTTGAGGAAAGTCTTTATTTCACCAAACTAGTACACTTCTCTCTCAAGTGTGTCACACATTTTGAAAGAAATGAGCGACTTTTGCCTGGAGCAGCTTTTTAAAGGCATCGCAACTTGCGGACGGACGTTGCGAGCGTTCAGGATTGCTAACCCTATTCACTTTTCTCCGGCGATGAAAACGCGTGAAAATTCGCATCCTTTATACGGTACATGCCAGTAATACCTTCAACTTGAGCACAGGCATGAAATGCTCCAAATAAGAAATCCGGGCGATGTTTAGAGACACAAATGCTTAGAAAGCACCACTGTAGTCGAAGTAAACAAACACGACGACACGGGCGTTTCTGTCGTCTTGAAAGTGCCACCACAACATCGCCGCACGAGTAGGTGGATTTTCCCTTCTAGTACGTGCTGGGTTATCATAGCGACACACAACGAAAATTCACCGTCAAGGATAGCGCTTTTACGCGGAACGATGAGCTTCCACCACACCGTCTACGTTGACAATCCCAACCGACGCCATGTTTGCAAATAGAAGCAGCCGGCCCGCGACCGGCATGCAATACGCGCGAACACTTGTCCTCGACCTGAGATTGGTCTGTCATTGCGGTTGTTTACAACACAGTGGAGGGACGCACGCACTTGAACCACACGTGCATGCGTCCCTCTGTCGCTATGGCAACTGAAGCCTCCCTCTTTGCTTCTCCCCGCTTCTTCGAGCAACCTCCTTGCCCCGCGAGTGCCGCTTGCGGCTCGCGCCGTTATCTAGTGTCGCACAGGGAAGCGTGTTCTCTGCGTCGGTCAGTCGGTGCAGTCGCCAGGCTGTTCCGAAAACCGCACTATAACCGGAATTTCCCTTTGCGCGCCTGCATTTTAAGCGCTATGTAATTACATGGAGTTCTATGGGAGGCGAACCGGTGGTTTAAAAAAACCGCGTTATACCCGGTCCTGCACTATAAGCGGTTACGTTGTAAGTGGTCTATACTGTACACCTTGCAATTTACGGGCTTTGCTTTGGCTGAAAATGGTCCTAATCCCAAATTAAACAATATTGACCGGCGTTGCCCTTTAAAAAACACATGCAAAGGAAAAAAATTTTTTTTTTTTAAATTGCTTACATGAAAAGGAATGTAATATTACAACAAAGAAAAAAATTCGAGGTATATATATGGCACAAAACGAATTTCGTTTTGTGCCATAGTTTGTCTGCTATCATAGTGCTTGCACTCTTTGAGGAGCTTCCTTTGGGCTCTAAAAGTTACTCATTAATCATCATTTTTTTGTTGCACTTCAAACGAAGATGAACAAGTAACATTCAGAGACCATACGAAGTTTCCGAAAGAGCACAAGTACCACGTGACATATAGCAGCCGATCCCGTGATAAAGAGCGGCCACATTTATGCGGCACCCGCGGGCGCCTCTTACAAATTTTTTTCATGCCGTAAATATAGCTCTTAAATTTTCTGTTTGTTGTAATTTTCGTTTTACGACTTCCTCATCCAGGCTATATAAAAAAAAATGTTTCTCTCTTTTGCATGTGTCCTTTAAAAAAACCTAAAAATTAAAAATTAAAATTTTTTAAACAGTCTGGCTTGGACACAAACATCAAAATATTAATTTTATGCAAAAAAAAAAATTTAGAACACTGTTGACGGCGCAAAATTTATTGTAAATTCTGCGCATAAAGTCCAAGACGTCACGGAATGGTCATACTCTCTCTCCACCTCAACGTGATGGCCAAACCGATCCACCTCTCCTCCACGCGGCCAAAATGCCGAGAGAGAAAACAAGTGGAAAGGAGGTGACTGCCAACTAACTTACGCCTCGCGCTGTCACTATTGCTCTAAAAAAACTTTTTTTCCCGTAAAATTAATTTTTTTATTTAGTCATACCGTTTAACAAAGCTGTTTTTTTTCTTTTTAGGGACCCTTTAAAGCAGACGCCTGCAGTAGGTCGCTTCCAACTAGACAGTTCATAGAGGCTTCTCATTCTCGTTCGGTGGCTGCAGGCACGCCTACTCGCCTCGTGTTGCGGCGTCTGCGCCTTGTGCCTGCTGGGTGTCCCTGCGTGCCCGGTACAGCTGTCCCACGTTGGTCTGCCTGATGGAGCGGGGCTGGGGCTTCCAGTTCTCCTGGTGCCTCACCATCAGGTCGCTGAAGTTGCGGTTGCACCTCACCTTCAGCCGCTCGCTGGGGGCACCAGACGACGACACGTGAGGACGCGGAAGCAGGAGCTCAGACGGGTGCCGCGACACCGTGGCGCAAATGCGACGTCTGTAGTCTGTCGCATTTTACGTACGAACCTCGTGTCCAAGTTTGTTTCCCGCGCAGGAAAGCATCACTAAATAAAATATAAAACGACACCCCAGAGGACGGGACAAAGAGATGAAACGAAGGACAAACGGTACTCGTTTGTCTCGCGTTCGTTCGCTTCGTCGCATTCTATCGAGTGCTCGGTTTTCACTATTTTCATATTACCATTTTATTTTTCTTCATTTTCGTGTAAATTTAATAGTACCAACCCGCTCGGCTTGCTGCTCTACTATGCTTTGATACATTGGGATTTTTGACAACTGCCTCCCGAAGGTGAAAGGACAGCACCGAAAACTGTCGACTGCATGTTTGCACCATGTCGCGCTGTCCCGTTACTAACAGCCGAAATAAATTGAAAATCAAGGTGCACGTCAGATTGGTGCCGACGAACTGGATGCACCTACGTCGAGACTTCCTTCTGCCGTTCCCATTTCTTTAAAGAGTGGAAGAGGCTGAATTTAATAATACTGGAGACAAAGGCCTGTGCATTCGGCTTAAAAAAACCTCCCGTAATTGAACCAAGAGAGTGAGGCAGTGTGCCACTTACCTGCCTCCCGTCGTCTCCAGCGTCAGAGTCAAGACGTACATGTCCTCCTTGACTTCGTCCAGAGGACACCCGTCTATTCGGCCATCCTGGTGGGTGAGAGCGAACGTGATGCAAGTTCGGCCGCCGACAAATTTGAAGGCCGGTGCAGCCAAAACGAGGCTGCCGTCAGCCCGTCGCGACGCGCGGAGGATCACGGGATTAAAAAGAGCTTGAAAGAAAATATCCGGACGCCAAAAAGAAATAAAGAATTCTGAGGAACTCTACGACAGCTTCCCTCCTAGAGAGGAGCACATAATATTTGCAAAACCCTAAAATACAATTTTTTTTTTTTAACGTGCTCCAAACTATGAGCACGTTACAATGGTACCAGCTGTGGAACGATTTTAACGTTGAAAGAATTGGCATCTTCCACTTTTGACATTGTTTATCTTGTCAAAGGACGGGAAGCACACCTCCTTCCTCCAAAATGTTGCGATTCCGCCGCGTAATCGCGAGGCGAAAATTAGAATATTTCCCGACCTGCAGCCACGAGCGGCGGCCATGAGAACCACGCGGCATGACGTCAATGGGGGTCTTTTAGAGAGATAGCAAGTTGTGCAAATACGTGCTCGATAAAAGGTAACCTTTCTATAAATCTTGTCGCTCCAACATAAATATAAATGCGTCAAAAACCTGGTACCATCAACAAAACTTTTATTATAGGGAGTTTTAGTGGCGCCATCTATCCTAGATCCACAAAACCGTCAGCTCTATCTGCTACCGCAAACAGCTGCCAGAAGCCGGAGGGGGAGGTGGACAGAGCTAGACGGGGATAACCAGACCTGGATGAGCGTTTCCTCCTATCACCATATTGCTCGCACTGCGTTAGCACGTGGTCATGCGGTCGTGAGCGGATGAGTTGTCGCTGCTCACTGATGACTCTAGAGAGAGAGCTGCACCAGAACCCCCCGCGACCCCCATTGACATCACAGCGCACGTGACTCAGAAGCTGGTGAAGGAGTTGAGAGGTGCCGAAAACTTCAATCTTTGTCTATTTTTCAAATAAAAACTAGGACATGCAGGCAAAAGCGTTTTTTTGTTCTTCACTTCAGAAAGGTCGAGACAGCAACTCCCAAATTATTTAAACAAAGCACTGAAATTGTTGCACAGCTCCTTTAAAATACAAAAAAAATGTGAGAAAGACGCGAAAAACTCAATAGGCAAAGAAAAGCCTCGTTCGGAGTTGTAGGTTAGGTTAGCTCAAGCTACTGCCTGACACGATTAGTACGTACAGCCACCAGATGCTACCATTGGTACAACACACGATTTTGCATTCGCCATTTTCCGTCTTCGCGTTCGCGGTTGTCGTTCCTGTTGTTGCGAACAACAAGAAATCACGGGTCTCTTTCGGATGCCTGGGCTTTGGCACACCGTGCATCGGCTCGTCGACTTTAGAGGTGCGCACGCGTACACGCCCGAAACCGACGGGACGCCAGTACGTTTGGAAGCTCGTGCTCAAGGCGGGACAACTGAATTGCCCCCCTGCCGTTCTTGTCGGCTGCTTTTGCGAGACGAAACTAACTTTATTACGTAGCTTTTTCGAGCAGAAAGCGATAGTTCTGGCCAAGAAAAAAGAAATTGTAACGGCGTTGCGTCCTTTGGACATTGCGGCATCTGGATGGCAAAAAACTCTGGCAAGACTCCGACGAATTTTGTGCCTACGCGCATTCGGTGAAGTGCACCTTACGAGCCAGTGGTGGTGGGCCGTCGATATTTTATCCGCGCGGCGGAATCGGCACAAAGTTATTTCTCAAATATTCACGAGATAGATGAACCCGCACTGTAGGATCAGGGACGCATGAGAATCGTGCAAAAACGGCCGGGTCGGGACCGTAGATTTTTGTTCCTAGGCAGTTTCCCGGTTACAGCCTCGCACCGAATGAATCGATAGCTCCGGTTAGGCATGACGTCTTCTAGACTTCTATTCTCGCTTACAGTACCGTGGTGCGACATCGAGATTAGAATCGGGCAAATTTGGGCACGGAGTCGTAACTCGACGCCTCCAGTCCCAGAGTCCGGAATCCCCCGAAAACAACCCAAAGGCCGAAAGCGAATGCACGCCCGCCGTGTCGGGGGGCAGACGGGGTTAAATTTGCCGGCAGGCTAGTTGCCGGGCGCGAGCGCTCCGGAAAAAGGGTGCCAGCTCACGGGATAAGGGTTCACGCTGTCCGTCGGCGTCCTCGTCAGGCTGAAGCCAACCTGGAAAATGCAATCAATCAGTCACATAAAATTTTAAAAAAAGAATTGAATTAAAAATTTTTGTGCATTGGCCGACAGGTTACAATTCAATACAGCTCAGCAGCCAGTTTCAGGGCCTTATAAACAGTATGGTGCCCCTCTGATCAGGTGATTACTGCAATTACCCTTCCAAATTTTCTGACAACTTTCCCCAACTAATTACGAAAAAAAAATATATATTTCTGACGGCATTTAGAGACGCGAGACTTGCACCTGAAGCACCTGTAGTGGCCGACGGATTCGGACCTATTTACGTCAATTTGTGAAAATATCACCGAGTCAAGAGCTGTAGCAGTCTCCATAACGGTTTACGTCGAGAAACTGACATACGGCAACGCAACTCGTCGGCGGCGGAGGTTTTGGGGAACTATTAACTCTTACAATGTTCAAGACGAGGCAGGTGGTTGCTGCACCGCTAACCCCAATACTTGGCTCCGATGAACATTGCCGTCATACAACTGGCAGAAATAATCGCAGTCACACACATTTCTTTAATTTTAGCTTTATGTAATGCTAAGACCGATGGCTGTTAGAACAATAAATCAATAAATTAATATTACATAGTTGCCTCCTCTGGCCACGTGTTGGGTGGTGCTATGCGTGGTCAGAAAAACTGGTGGGTGTCGTATCAGTGTGTCTAGCAAATTATTGATTGGAAATTCCCTGACTTTTCCAGGTTTTCCCTGACAGTTTCAGGTGAAATTCCCTGAAGTTATATATATAAAAGAATTACAACACAAGGCATTGAGCACTGTGAGGATCATTTTGCACGGACTTAATCGAACTTGCATATTCTGAAATATTCGAGTTTGCCCAGTCCGAAATAAACGAGCACTTTCTTGCCACCGACATCGTCAGTGAAGAGGCCCCTTCCGGAAACACAACAAAAGCATGACGCTCAACCACACACGTTCACAACCGAATGGCAGGATGGCCACCAGGGGCACACATTGAACTTTAGTCTTGGATTGGATTGGATTGGGGTCTGCGGCTTTCCTATTTGTAACTAAATTTAGTAGCTCTAACCGGATATAGCCTAGCGTCGCACCCTCAATCAAACCAAATACAAGGCTTGGAATGGATTGGTCAGCTGTTCCCTTTGCATGCTTAGGCCAATCACACACTCAATGATGTGATTGGCCTAAGCAATTTTGGAGCACCTCTCGGAGCAGCCAAAACAGTGTCTTGGAGCAGCGAATGTGGCTTTTGGAGCAGCCAAGATAGCGTTTCGGAGCAGCAAAAGTGGCTTTTGGAGCAGATATTCTTAGAAAAATAAAAATATTTGTTTTAAGTTCTGTACAAACGAAGGGCACTTTGTGTTGTGTTGTGTTCTGATGAGCCGTGTTGCGACGGCTTGTGTTTTTATTGCTGAGACATCCCACAAGTATACAGTACTGTAGGCATTACCGAGCAATTCCGAAAAACTGCTTGCCACCATTTTATTGATTCCCGATACCCACTTGTCACCGTTTTATTGATACCCGCTCTAGAGAGAGAGAGAACAATTGGTTTATTGGAAAGAATACCTGCTCTAGGTAAATAAGAACCAAACTGCACATATTAAAATTTATTTAAAAATGACCAGCTTAGTAGTAAATATTGCAGCATTAGGTTCACTAGTTATGTAATAAATGGAAACAGTCTCTAACTGATGAAACACGTGACCACTGCAGTGCAATGCAAAATTGTTTTGGCAAAATGTAGCAGGATGTAGCAGGGTTAGCCCCTTGGCGCAGTTTGGCGCAATTGGCACAGCAATCACATCACTGCACTCTACATCGAGTGAGCAGAGCCCGCACCCCACTCTAAGCAGAATTTAGTGCCTATTTTTCTGCCCCCAAGTCCTCAAGTCTTTGCTAAGGGCACTCTATGGCGTTTCCGGCTCATTCTCCCTGACTGGGCTCACTTTTTGACAATATCCCCGATTTTTCCCAGTAATTAAAATTTCCCTGAGAATTCCCGGTTATTAGACACTGCTTATGCAGGGTGTTTCTGCAAAAGCTTTCAAAAATCCATAAAAATGTGCTGTTCGAGATAAAAAGAAAAACCTTTGCGTGCCTTCGCGGACATCAAGGATTGCAAAAACACTAGGAGGTCGAGGACCTTGTCAAGCTGTACTTTATAGCTTTTTTTCTCGACCTCCGCCATCAGTGTTGATGGGAAACTTACTTACTTAGCAAGATAAGTAGCTAAGATGTATGAATTATTCAGTGAGAATCAACTTGTGGTTTTACTGAGAAACTTGCTAAGCATCATCGAAAACCACTAAATCAACTCTTTTTAGAAACATTTAAGTCAGGGGCAGCCTTCTACGCCGTTCTGAAAAGAAATGCCCAGTTTAGACACGTTTCTAGGTTTCGCTTTCTTATCGGAGTGCATCTTTGCAACCGCCGTACTGCTTCCCTGGTGGTTGCGGCGCAAAGCTGCGCCCTCCCTCGTGGAGGGCGCAGCCAATTGGCCTGTCTCGGCCAATTGGGAGAGGGACAGCGGGCGCAGAGATGCGCTCAGGTAAGAAACCAAAACCAAGAAACGAGTTAAATTGACAGTTTTTACGGAATGCCGTAAAATGCTGCCCCTGCCTTATATCATTCTAAAAAGAGTTGATTTAGTGGTTCTCGATGACGCTTAGAAAGTTTCTCAGTAGAAACATACATTGATTTTCACTAATTAAAATATTAATTAGTAAATATTAGTTATATAGTTTTGCTAATTAGTATGTCTCTGCAACCCTTGACGTCTGCCAAGGCTAGTACTACGTTCCCAGCAAGAGTTTCTTTTTATCCCAAACAGTGCATATTTTTAGAGATTTTTTAAAGCATTCAAAGAAACAGCCCGTGTGAGCGTTCGTGCATGTATTTCGGATTATAGGCAGTGCCAGAGGCATTATTACTAGGGGTTACATTTACATGAAGGGAAAGCAAACACAAAATATGTGTGCAAAAAAAACGAAAATACTTTCAGATAAATATGTTTATTGAAGTAAATGTGCTTATTGAAGATCATCATGTTCACCAAGGACCGTACAGGAGGGGCAGGGTTCTTTCCTCTCTTGTTGATAAATGTTAAAAAAAAAAAAAAGAGATGTTCAGCTTTTCTCAAAGTAACTCAGAAGGTTCTCATTTAATGAATTCTGGCCTGGCTGGGCAAGAATAGCGACCTTTTCCAATGTGGAAATTAATGCTAACAAACGAAGTAAAAAGCATATGCCCCTTGCATTCTTAATTAAATGGACCAAATTGATTTTTGTTTTGCATAGCATACAACTTTGATGCAGGCGTTGCTAGAATCGGCTCAGAAAATGAGGGCTGCAAAAGTTTGACGAAAAGGTTGCCGTGGCACTTAGAAAGGTCCAAAGTGTGCCTTCTGCTAGGGGCATTCTCAATTCCTATTGTACTGGGTGTCCCAAGGAGCGGTCAGGCTCTTTAAATCAACCGCAAAATTTGGCTTCTTAACCAATCGCGCTATGACTTTGCGCAGAGTTGCCCACAGATGGTGCATTTTTTTTGTAAAATTTGCAAAGAGCAAACTTACTTGAAGAAAAAGTGAAGAAAGAAAAAGGCTCAGCTCCTATGGAAACGCAGCGAAGCCACCAGTCTTCAAACAATACGGCGCCATTTCGCATGGGAGACAAGAGATGGCACAAGCGGTCGCAATGCCAACTGCCGCCAACGAACGAGCATACGGTGTTGAGAGCCGGCATCTTCAGCAGAGTATCTTTTCGACTCAAAAGCGGCGCGAGCTCTTCTGATATCAGTGCCAATGCATTATTTTATCATCCTTACCAATAAAACACATTGAATGAAGACATAACCGATTAAAAATGGTTTGTCGGGATATTTTGACTTTTTTTTTTGGGGTACTGATGTTGTCTGCTTTGCAGTTCCTTATTGTTGTTACCACGCCTGTTTTTGTTTCTGCGACTTTTTCCACCCATGGAACGCGCGCCGATTTTGAGTCGAAAAATTGTCTGCCAAAGACACCGGCTCTAGGCGTTGTATGCTCGTTCGTTGGCGGCAGTTGGCGTCGCAACTGCTTGTGCCATCCCTTGTATCCCGTAAGAAATGGCGCTGTATTGTTTGAAAACCGGTGGCTTCGCTGCGTTTCCATAGGAGCTAAGCATTTTTCTTTCTTTACAAATTCCTCAGGTAAGTTTGCTCTTTGCAAAGTTTATAAAAAAAAATGCACCATGTGTGGGCAACGCTGCACAAAGTCGTAGCGCGATAGGTTAAGAAACCGAATTTCGCAGTCGATTTAAAGAGCCTGGCCGCTCCTTGGGGCACCCAGTAGTGTTACCAGATTAAAAAATACAAGAGTACACTTAAGACTGCTTACACACAGGAAGGCGAAAGCCAGTCAAAGACGACGTCGAGAACAACGCCTGGGACGAGTTCAAGGACGACCTTAATGACGACGTTGAGAATGACGCCTAGAGGACGACGTCTAAAACAACCTCTAGGACGACCTCAAGAACGATGTCTATGACGACTTCTAGTGTGTGCGTGTGACAGCATTGTAAATGAAAATAATGGGGGAAAATGAGAGCCAATAGTGTATGTGAACTATTGGCTCTCATTATCCCCCCCCTATTTCCATTTACAACGCTTACTGGTGGTCACGTAAAGGTTTTGGTACCTTTCGTGTCACTGACGTGTTTTCGGTCAGGGACTTTGAAGGTCGATTGAACAATGAGACATGTAAGACTTTCGCCTTAAAAAATTAAACGAGTCTCTCAAAAAGCCGGCATAGCAAGATTCTGAAAAGCACTGGCATCCGCAGTGCCACGAAACTTTTTACCAAAGACGCCAAAAATACCCGACAGAGAAGGAGACTAAGTTTATTCACCGATGAAAGAGTAAAAACGCTGACAAGCCAGCAAATGTCTTTCATTCGCCAAGATAAAACAAAATAATTTAAAAAAAACTGTCAAACACACATTGTTTTAGATTGAGACTGTGCGCCTAACTTTAAACGTGCCATTGAGAAAAATTTAATTTGTTGTATTTTGCGATTTGTCAAACTCGTTATCCCATTGGGTGGGGGGGGGGGGGGGCAATGAAGCATAGATACCAGTTCCCCCCAGTCAGCTTGTATACCCTGGCCACGTGACACCTCCATTAGCCAATCGTAGTCGAGCACCTCACTCCTACTCTCCCACCCAACAAAACCAACAGGTGCGGAGCCTCGCGGTCATGCTTTTATCCAGGCTTCGCCAGACATTGAGAAGACACGCCCCGCCCTTCTCATTCTATCAGCAACTACAGTGTGCAGTGGGAGGTGGGAGAGAGTCAGTCCTCACCTTGTTGGAGCTGGGCGAGAAGGACAGCTTCTCCACCTCGACGTTTAGGCTCCCGCCGACGAAGAAGCCAAATGTCGTGACGCTGAAGTACCGCCGCTGCTCTCCCTGCGAGCAAATGGGAAAGCTTCCTCGAGTCGCACGTGCGCGCAAACTCCTAGCGGCTTGTGTCGACCCAAGGGGAATAAACTGCCCAGCCAAACTGTGAACAGTCGTAACTGGGGTTTGGCGTTTTCGGCGTTCATTTTCCTTCGAATTCTAGGGTGTTCTTCGCAGGTCTGTCTCTTCCCACGGATTTCGGTGTTCTTCGGTTTGAATTTTCGGGGTCGGACAAAACTTTGGTGCTTATGGGGGCTTCCGCCGAAGGAAACAGAACACGGGAATAGGATGCCTAGGGTGGCCGTACTGCTCGGAGTTGAAGACGGGACATTAAAGGGAAGGATACGGGGAGAAAAAACAAAGTGGGTGGGCAAAGCGAGAAAAAAGAAAAAATCTTCACTACTATTCAGTTCACTGTACAAACTAGTGATGGACCGAATCTGCCGAATATCAGACTCGGCAAAGTTCAGCAGATGCCAAACTCTTGAAGGAAGGTTCGGTAAAGATTCGGCAAAAATTAGGCGAATGTGTGCGCACGCGCGAGGACACGAAAGGGCCACGGATTGCAAATGGACGCCGTGCGGATACCATCGTACAGTGCAGTACAACCAGCGGCTACGGCGAGGTGTGGAGTAGGCAACACGGTAACCGTGCGTTTGTGAGCCTTTGCAAGTGTGGTTCTCCTCAATATGTCCTGCCTGAAGAAGAGAAGATCGACCAAGAATTGACAGAGTCCACTGCGCAAGTGACATATGATGCGGGACATTCTGGATAACGTAATTTTCATTTGGTCTTTGCAGTGATGCAACAAGGAAGTTGAAACATATACTGATAATTCCTTTAAAGCACTCCTCGCAATTATAACAATCCTGTTTTCGGCACACAAATAGTTTGTACCAAAATAAAATAATATTGCTTTTTAATTAGAGTTATTTCACAGTTTTCATCTGTCCGCATAAAACTAAACACAGAACTATCATGCTCGACGTTGACATCCGACATTCGTAACTCTTACAGTCTTGCTAAACGTCCATGTGTGTCCTAACATCAGAAACCAGCATTTTAAAGATTAAAAAAGACACACTGCAAATATGGGACGCACACTTACATGCAAAGCTGACGTCAAGACTCAAATCGAAAAACATGCATATTTACAATAATATTGTCATATCTTCTGGTGAAGGCCCAGCAACCGATGCATTTGTTTTTGCGCACAGAATGGTGGCTCCCAGAGAAAGTCATAACGCAGTGTTATTGCTTTTATAACAATGTACACACACTTGCAGGTTTGCACTGATGAGGCCACAAAACCGAAACTCTCGTATCGTAATTCGTGACTGCATCCACTACTACTCAACCTCATTGCCATGCCACTTCTGCAAGAAGTCACTGTAAAATTGCCAGTAAACATACAAAAGCAACACCGATACAATTATTATGTAGAATATCACCTTATATAGTGATAACTGTGTCAATATGCATTACATGTTGCATTTAAGTTAAGAAAAAAAAAATCATTAAACCTTTTTCGCCAGAAAAAAACTAAACATCATTGTTGAGTCTCGTAACAATGTATTTTTGCCGAATCTTTAGAAAAGTCCGGCAAAAGTTTGGTTTTGCCAGATTCCAAGATTTGGCATCGAATTTTCGATTCGGCAAAAGTTTGATCCATCACTAGCGAAAACACACGCTTTTCTGGGGCTTTCCGTTGAGTGGAGTACACAAGCACCTTCCTTAGCCATTCTGCAAAACCTAAGCATGCCAAATCTAGTAATATAGAGAAGCGTCCCTCCCGTACACGCGTCTGTGAGAATGAAACTCACTGGCAAGTGGAGTCACAGAAAAAGCTAAAAATAATACTCTACTAGAGATAGCATTATTTTACTGTTTATTCTAACACACTGTCACAAGTAATAATTTTTTTGTTTCCTTCTACTCACCTGGTACTGATTTCGCGAGCAAATTTCCACAAAAACGGGACATTTGGCTATATTTGGACAAAATGACGAGGCGGTAGAAATGAACCTCTAAAACGGGACTGTCCAGGCCCAAACAAGACGTTGGGTCACCCTCAAGTTGCCCCGACCCCCCAGGAACATCCCGATACCTTCAAAAGGAGACTGGATAAAAAAGACTGCGGTTACCGAACAAAGAACCGGCCTCACAGAGAGCTCAATGGGGACTGCTTTCTGGATAGGATGATGATACAGCTGTAGATCATGATTTCATTCAATCAAGCTTAGGTTTTTCCCCCGATTTATGAAATCGGCTTGGGGATTCATTTTACGGGTATATCAGTATTTACAACAAAAACGTGGAACCCTAGTTGTGACCCTATTTTGTTTAGGGGTAAGTGTGGAGACCTATAGAATCGCCAGTCTTTCAAACAATCCGTAACCTTGTTGAACTTGTGTCAAGCATTCCGGTAAACATGTTTCAGTACTTCAGGTGGGCAGAATCGGACGGAATTAGGATTTGGCAGGAGTATGGCACGTGCCGGGGTTTTGGAAGAAAATTTTTCGAAGATTTGGCAAATGGCTGCAAGCACATGTACGCATTAAACACTCGTACCACCGCGCCGACCAGCTGCATGAAAACGAGATGAAGACCAATAAAGAAAATAAAAGTTTAGCGTCTCGACTGGTCTGCTTTGCTGTGGATTGCCCTTAGCATTTCCATTTGGGCATTCGACATAGCAAAGTGCAATGGCAAGCGGCCGTCTGAAAACGCCAAGTGAAAATCGCAGCGAAGTGCAAAGTGAGGCTAGAAGGTAATGCCGGCATTTCATGTTCCTACTGAGTGAGCCATTTATTAACTGACAATTTCTGCAGTCACCTATGCACTGTAGGTTGAGAGGTTGGCGAAAAGCATAGACTGCCAACACGCAAAATGGATGCATTGTCCACGGTCCAGCCATGGTTGCGACCTTGAGCGAGTGGCCTCCCCCACCCGGGCTGTTTTACTGAACACCACATCATACAGCAGTTCTTGGGTTGCCACCGGGGTAACACTCCCTGCAGCTCACGTGTTCCATACAAGTTTGGTGAGTATGGCAGACCTTCACTGCGGAGTTGCGAAAATGAAACTCAACTCGCCAACCGTGACAGCCTTTTCAAAAAGCTCACTAGCTCTGCAAGTGAAAGAACCAAATTGATACTGATGGCATTATCCCCCAAATAACATTTTCTACTTGAATATCAATTAGTATGTCCTGAACTAACCTGGGAGGAAACACAAGCACTTGCAAGTAATAATATTGAAATGGTGTTGTTCTTGATGGTTTGGGTCTTCCGCGGCAATCATAAGTTCAGGAGGGAATAGTTTCGGGACCTGGCACGTCCTCATCAGTCCAGCTAGAGCTGCTGAAGTTTTTTGCTGGACTGACGAAGGACCTGCTAGGTCCCGAAATGTTTCTCTCTTGGAACCTGTGATTGCCACAGAGGACCCAAACCATCAAGGGCACTACTGCCAATAAATTGAACGTTTTACCAAAAATTTGAACGTTTTACCAGATGCCTAAAAGTATTTCCTACTGGAAAAACACAAAAAGTCTGTCAACTTGTTTAGCAACCCTGTACTTTTTTTCCAAATTTTATGTTGAATTTCTGTAAAAGTTTGACAAATATATGGCTTTGCTAAATTTCTGGATTCGGCACCGACTCTCATTTGGAAAATGTTCTGTCCATCACTACAAGTTACTATCTTCCTGTAGCGTAGTCACACCAAAGACTTTCCATACATAATTTTTATGTATCTGAATGTCAAACAAAACCTCCATTTGGTTCCGTTGAGGTTGATTAAAATAAATATATATATAAATATATATATATATATATATATATTTATTTATTTTAAATCCAGAAATTAGGATTACACAAAATTTGAGCAAAGGGGGTGTTGAGAGGTATGCCTGTGCGAATGAAGGGAACCCCTGGATGAAAACCACACCAATGTGACATTTGAATTCGGCCAAAACAAGCAGATTCTTTAACACAAATAATGCTAACACGTAAACAATATATATATACCCTGAAAATACATTGTCAATGTGTACGTTTGACTGTAAAACCTTCTTAGAGAGATATTTTAAAAAGGACGCGGTATTAATAAAGTAACAGAACTACCGCTGCGAACAGTTCATCTTCAAAACGAAAGAAAATAACAAGCAATAAAAGCGACATTCGTCGGATGACTCACAAGTGGTTCTCCGAGCAACCTCGAGCTACTGTTGGCAGGTCACCATTCCGACCTGTTCACTGTACGGTACAGCAGTGTAGAGATTTCCAGCGGCACGGAAAGCCATTTTATTCGCTTTTCACAGCTACATGATCCAGCAGGTGATGCTAGACCGTGAACCGATTTGTGGAGCAGACTGGCTCGCTACCGACCAAGACGATTGGTTAAAAGCCGATGAAGTTAACCTACACATACAGATAATATGAGTAAAACTAAATTAAAATGGAAGTTTAGCTTGTCGTGTGTGTGTAGACACGAAGTGTAGGCAGTGCTTGTACGAGGTGGTGAAGTGAGAAACAGATCGGGATCGGCAGAAGCCAGGCGGGGCCAAGCTCTGGGACGCGACCGAGCGGACGCGTCTGTCTCGACGCTCGTCCTGGGAGCGATTTCGACGCGAGAGTCAACTGAAGGCGTCACGAACCTTAAGGGACAGCCGGTGATTTCTCGCATCGTGCGGAGGAAACAGGATGAGCAGGAAAAACACCAGAGAAAGTGCCGAGTTGACGCGGACCACCATCTTGGCACTCTCGTGAACTGTGGTTGCCAGACGCAAGGGGCAAACTTCACGACTTTTGGCGGTTTGGAAAGGCCAGCTTGAACTTGGGAGATGAAAAAATGTAAAGATCAAAGAGATAGAAGAAAGAGACAGAGACAGATATACTGCTGGACTGCTAACAACGTTCAGTTGGGAAACTGCCATAGAGCCTGCTTTAAAAAAAGTGGCTCCTGTTTGTACTCGAGAGAGTGACGTTTTAATAGTAAGCGGTTAGCCTAACATTGATGCCTAGCTAATGGCGATCGCAACGCCGCCATTTCTCCCGCAGCGTCCACTCCGGGAACCGCACGGCTACACGTCGGGTCGGGCAAGGGCCGGTGGCGCCATCTCGCAGGGCTATCTCGCAGTAGCTATGTAAAGCAACTTTCATGTTTCAGCTCGTCTCTAAAGGGTGGTGCTGTTATCGTATTTAGCTCGCTCTCGGTAGACGCCAGCGGCCCAGGTTTCAAGGGTGAGTTTCCCAACTGAGGGTTTTAGTAACGTTGACTGCCAACTATGGTTTTAATGCTTCTTCCTCTTCTTGGCCCTATCTGCTTCTCCTTTTCTTCTCATACTGAGAGCTCCATTCAGTTCTATATGAAACAAGTATGAATGAAATTAAATAAGAGCCAAATACATTCTATATACAATTCCAGTTTGAAAAACCCGCACTTCACCAGACAGTGACACACCGCATATACCGTTTTTCATTTGTGGTGGGCATCAGCAGGAAGGTATCAGATGGGACACTCCGCAGCAGAGTTATTATATTGTATGCTAGAGGTTCAACTGGCGCTTGTCTATGAGACTTCCGTGATGCAAATTGAAGCAGACAGCAACCAGTCTACTTTTGCGGTGCTCCTGTGTATTCCTATGGGACAACGCGCGTGCATTTTGTCTCTTCGCCGGAAGATAACACTTTAATTATTTTGGTCGTACCAAATATGTGTACCTTGATTACCACTGTAAAAGTGTAATTGCTTTAGTTAGTGCATTTGTCTTCATTAGTGAACAAAGTTTAACTTCGCTACATTTCAGTCCCAAACGTGTGTTCCACAGCAGGTGTGTAAAAACAAGCGACGATTGTAAGTGAAATAACAATAGAAAGGAATATAGAGTGCGTTCAAGGCTTGCCAGCATTCTGGTGACGCTTATATATCAATAATATGCCCGATCTGTCACTAAATGAAAGTGATCCCGTCGTGCAAGAGCGGATAAAAACATTCAAAACGAGAAGAATAAAGTCCGTGGACTGGTCTCTTCGTATTGTTTTTTCTGCCAGGCAGCTTTTATCGGGCACTTGTTCTCAAAGATTTTGAGTGAGCGGGTGATATTTTGAGCGTAGAATAGACATTTTTGCACAGGGCAGAAAGAATAAAGCGGTACTATACTTATTTAAAATAGCATCAGATTTCGTGGCATTATATTTATTTTGATCGTACATGCACGGGTAGTTACTGATCCAGTGTTACTGCGTAGTTCTTACCGTCTCCCTCAATTTCCAGATGTTCCTCGTTCGTTTGGCACGTATATCCCTCATGCTGAAAAGCGCCGATGTCGTGTTCGCGCTAACAGCGTCCGACAGTGCACATAAAAACACGTACGAAGTCCTTTTAGCATTGTTTTTAATGCAACGAGTTTGTAAGAACAACGCCGTAACTGACCAATTATTTCATCGGCGTGACTGAGAAATGTTCCAAGCTACCTAGTACGTACGAATTATTTGGGACAATAGCTCGTATGCTCGAGCGCAGGGAGAAAATGCTCTCTTTTTCCCATAAAAATGAATTACCGGAAGACAATTTTCGACTGGTTGCTGTCTGCTTCAATTTGCGTCAGCACACTATCGCCACTTGAACCTCTAGCGCCACTTGAACCTACGCTGACTGATACATCTTCATTTCCTTCGACAGCCAAGCTCTCGAGCATCCCCCGTGCATACGGGTTTTTTCTTTTTGCAAGAATAGTGATGCTGTTGAAAGCTGCACTGCATTTACGTATGCAGCAATGAACCAGTAGATGGCCCACTGTAGTTCCCTTGATGCTGCTTGATGCAGTTAGTGTACTAGAAAGGACGAGTGGGACTACCGGAGTGTTACTTCTCCACTTCCGCATATAGAAAAAAAACGGCTAATCCAAGCCACTTCGCTCGTAGCCCTCTCTCGGGCGATACGAGCAAAGTGGTTCGGATTAGCCGGTTTGAATTAAAAACGCGTTGCATTCGAACGCCAGGCTCAACCATAGGTCGGCATTTCCGAACCCACTCACTCACCATCACATCACTAATTACAGCAACATCCAAAAGTCACAGCCCTTCACATCACAAAGTACATCGACGTCCAAAAGTCACAGCCTTTCACATCACAGAGTACACCGACGTCTAAAAGTCACGGCCTTTCACATCACAAAGTACACCGACGTCCAAACGTCACGGACCTTCACATCACAGAGTACACCGATGTCTAATATTCACGGCCCTTCACATCACAAAGTACACTGACGTCCGAAAGTCACGGCCATTCACATCACGGAGTTCAACCGGACAACAAACTCATCCCCATCACCTCACCGCAATCTCTGAACTCACAAAGTCATTCACCGTCACTTCACAAATCCGTCAAGTTCACGAAGTACTTCACCGTCACATCACGAATCCTATAGAGTTCATGAAGCATTCCCCATCCCATCACCTCCAACTCTGAATTCACGAAGTCGCTCACCGTCCCATCACAAGCTCATCGAGTTCAGCAAGTCGTTCCCCTCACGTCCGTGAACTGATCCCGTTCATGAAGTCGTTCGACCGGTTCGACTTCACGGCCCTTCACCGAGTCACAGCCGTTCACCGAGTCACAGCCATTCACCGAGACACCGAGTCACCGAGGTCACGGAAAGCGGCGTCGGCCCCTGCAGCCGCGGCCACCGCCACTGCCTCCGGCTCTCAGCCATCCTCGAAGTTCTTTCGCAGCGGCGCTGACGACTCCAGGAGTCCAGATGTGTGTTTCAGTGTGTGTCTGTGTGTGTGTGTGTGTGTGTGTGGGGGGGGGGGGGGGGGGGGGGGGGAGTATTGGGCTGGGCCGGGCGACGCACCCTGCTCTTGTCATTTTGTTTGTTTAGCTAGTTCCCTCGGGTCCATATCACAAGAGCGAATGACATTTTAGCGAACGGCGACATTTGAGCGAATGCTCGTTTTAGCGAATAACGGGGGCGCGCGTTAACCCATCCGTCGCGCTGCGCTTTACGCCGCTTCGCGGCGACAGTCTGCGGCAACTGATTACAAAAATATGAACTCACTTGGCCCACCCGAAAACGCCGCTTCGCGGCGTCCGACTATTCGCTAAAGTGTCGTTCGATGAAACGTGGGCGTTCGCTAAAACGTCATTCGATCAAGTGAGTGCCTCCCAGTTCCCTCTGGCTTTTAGTTTTGTTGTCCCGTTTCTTTTATTTTCGTTTTGTTTCGCGCTTTCTTCATCGTGTGCGTATGCTGTGGAGAGAGAGCGGCTTCTTGACTTCCCTGCTCCGAACTTGTGAGATAAGGTGCTTGTTTCCGGGAGAGTTATAAGCCCCACTGATGCCCAGAACCAAAATGGCTGCTGGTTTGTCGGCGAGCGGTATTACAAAGGGTGGCATCACCCTAGCAAAGCGCACATGAAGGCTCCCTAGACTTCGCCTGGTTGTCGGCGTTGTGATTGTGGAGGGGACCCCACCTCAAAATCTTCTGGCCTGTCTTTTTTTTTTTACTTTCGTTGCGCACGGTTTTTTCTACGAAAAAAAAAAAGAAGGCGCTTATATTTTTGCCAACGACCGCTCACCGAGGGGGCAAAAGGAGAGACAGACACGAACCTGCGTGCACGATGTTTGTGAAACATCTTACAAACATTAATACGAGTCCATAATATATGAACGAAGACGTTTTAGCGAATTACATTTTAGCGAATAGAGGTCACATACGCGAGTCGACGTTTAGGCATTTGTAGGGGTGGCAAACTGGGCATCCAAACAGACCGCGCCAGGCGGTCTGTTCGGAACGATAGCAAGGGGTGCTTTGCCATAGTTTGGGGAAAATTAAATGAACTCAAGTTCGAGCGTCCATCGTCAAAGGTTCGGCAAGCTCGAAAACAGGACGGCGGCGGCCTCCATTTTATCTATTCGGTCAAATGAACGTCGCCATTCGCTAAAGTGTCATTCGATGAAACGTCGTGGGCCAGGTTTCGCTCGCTAACCGTCGTTCGATCAGTACAAAATTGTTTTGTGTGTTTTATCTTAATAATTATGATCCATGGCAACCAGCCTATCGTTGCCTACCTCACTTTACGTCGTAAAATAGCGCGATGATGTCACTTTCATAAGAGATACCATAATAACGCAATACTTCACAACCGACCGCTGAATCACCCATGTAATATTTTGTCACGGATTTCATCATATATATATAAAGTAGACATTCCAAAACAAGAGCCATCCATTCCCAAAAATTCCAGGGACTGGAACTACCTTCCCTCATCTGTTGCCACAATTGCCACTTACTATATGTTTAAAATTGCCGTAACTAATCTATACAGCTCAGACTGCGCTCCAAGGTGTACAGCTTTGTTCTGTTCTCTTCTAACTCCCGCTCACCTCTGTAATGCCGATGGCCCTGAGGGTATGTCAGTTAAACAAATAAATAAAAAAAGTAAGTGCCTCCCCTGAAAAACCTCTTCAAGAGGCGACCTGCAGCTTGCCGAAGCAATGAAATCTGAGTTTTATTCGAACCCGTTGGTCAGAGTACACCTCATCATTAATTCAACCACTCATTGTATCATTCACCTCAAAGCAATATGTTTACTTCTGAGCGTGTTCGTGTCGCTCAACCTACTTTGAGCGAAATGCAGTCGAGATAACTAATGATGGCGGTCGACTCCACGTTTTTCAGCTTTGAACCGAGGCGAGGCGCGCGATTCACGCGCGCCTCGCGCTCGTTGTTTTACGCCGGGGTTTGGCTGCGCATAGACTCGTTTTATAGGTAGCGTACTG